AATCAAAAAGAGATCTGACCAAGTAAATAGCACGTCACTCCGGTCAACGTAGTTCAGATGAGACATGTTTGTGTGTGTGTGTGTTACTGAGTGGAAAATTTGACATTTATAATGTGAAATGGTAGACTTGGATTGGTATGATAATGGTGTGATGTGAATAGCATCAGACATAGCTCGGATAGATGATCCAAGTCAAATGGATAGTAATGGCTTTAATTCTATTAATGGGAGTAGGATTTAGCAATATATAGAAAAGTCTAGCTATTCGCCTTTCTTTGTAATTGTGAAAGCTTTTTTGTATTATTTTGATATTTTTGGTATCGACTTGATGGTTATTGAAGATGTCCTCCAATGTTATTGATGATCAAATTTGGAGTATTTTAGGTTCTACAGGATTATCAAATGGTTTATTTGTGTAGCTTTGATGTTCTTTAACGTGAGTTAAGATTTCACCAGATGAAACTCCAACATACAAAGCAACATAATCAAGACACTCGAATTTGTAGACTCAGTCGCGTATCATAAAGCTTTACTAACAAAGTCTTCTTTCAAACGTATCACTGAGTCATGATGCTCCCACTCAGTGTCCGGTTCAGAATTAAATATCCGGAACTACTGACTCTCTAGCTGTAACAGAGGAATTGAGTGAGAAGGTGGTTGTCTTATATAAAGTTGAAGACAGTGTCTTGAATAGTTTACCTGAATCGGCCTGGGTATCAATCAACTCCCTGAATCATAGTCTACTCCTCGGATGTATATGAAGAGCTCCCGATAGTCTGGATAATGTGAATAATGCTATTATCAATGGATTTATACTTGCATCTGCTCTAAACTACAATGCTAAGGTTATTACAGATTTCAATTACCCTAGAATAAACTGGAATACCGATAGTTATCAGTCATGTAAGGATGAGTTCTCAGCAACCATTAACCTGTACTGTTGTACACAGTGGGTTCATACCTCAACAATTCGTGGTAATATACTTGATCTAAAATTTAGTGGATATATCATCCCATTATCTGTACAAGTACACGATGAATTTAAAAGCTGTGACCGTAAAAAAGTGGTTTATACTCTCCCTCTCTATCCCTCTTATAACCAACTCATACTATAAGCATGCCGACTGGGACCTTTTGAGCTCACTGGTTAAATTATCGGACTGGGATACCTACTTCTCATGTAACAGTCTCGTGGATACCATTGACACATTCTATCTAACCGCCGACTCTTGTTTAGATTCCTACCCACCCCTTAAAACCTTCAGGTTTAGTAAACCTAACAAATTACTTATACCAGCTAAATATCATAGTAAATTAAGACACCTACAGAAACGTTATTTCGATTCAAACGATTTCACGGCAGTTGCACAAATAACAATAATTTTTAACCGAATTAAAAAGAAACACAGATTAAAAGCAAACAATGAGGGGTCGTTAGCACTTATTACTCACTCAAAAGTACGAAACTTAATTTTCCTTTTCAATAAACGCATTAAAGCAACTCAAAATGTTGATATAATATGCATCCTACACAATGGCAATTTTTATATGACTTTAAAACCATAGCAGACTCTTTCAGTGGTATTTTTGCGCATGATAAAGAATTCGTAATCGACACTGTTACAAAAGTCATGTATTTGACTAGTAACTCGATATAATCTATCTCCTTCACATGCCTAAAGATTAGTAAGGCTATAAACTCCCTTAAGTTTTCAAGTGGTCATGGAGTAGACGGGATTTCATCCTTTCTCTACAAATATGGTGGTCCAGATATTCCACTACTTTTCCTAAAGCTGTTTACCCTCTCTCTGGAAACAGGTGCTCACTCTTACTGTTGGAAAATCTCGTATATCATACCACGTTATAAATTTAGAGGTAAGATTGAAATGAACACTTATCGGCTCACAAATATTACTCCAGGGCTCTCTAGCATCATGGAAAAAATTGTTAGTGACGAACTCTCCGACTATTTACTCCCTGGAAAATTTATCGATGATTCTGAACATGGATTTCTTAAAGATGGATCTTGTATGACATACCAATTTAACTTCTTTAATTTAGTCTTTTCTCAACGTAACCAAGAATATTTATTTCTAGTGTTGTACTTTGACATTTCTAAAGCCTTCGACTTAGTGAACCACCAGCTTCTTACGGACAAACTCGCATATTATGGGGTCTGAAAGTGTTATAACGCTCGGTTTTCCACGTTTACACGAACGGGACGTTAATTTGCCTTAGATGAATATCTAAATTAGATTCTCTCCTAGTGTCTGTTCTACAGGACTTCAACACAACTCAGATCAAGAACACGTGATTCGCCTGACTAGAACGTAAAAATATTTCCACACCAGAACTCGACACAATCCAACAGCAATCAAAAATCAATAATAGTTAATAATAAGGATAGGGGAATATATAACTCACTTAACACTATTTACATGTCTGACTAAGCAAACAACCAATCATCATCATTCCCGCCCACATACATCAGTAGGCCCTTTCCGTATGCAAATGATCTTTAGGTAGCGTATTCATTTCTTCCTCATGAGCTGATCGATATGCAAAATTGCATCACTATGGAGCTTACCAAAGTGGCTCAGTGGCGCGCAAAATATCAGGTGGAGATGACTACTGCTTAATATAGGTGAATGTGCTTCAGTAATACATTACTCAACTTGGATCTTACCATAAATGGTAAGGTGCTGTCTAATTTACAACCAGTAATAGACTTATCACTTAGGTACTCTTACGATTTGCCCCTTAAAAGAACACGTCTCGAAACATACCTCCGAGTCCCAACGTCTTATTGGTTGCAGAATTCTAAACGTCTATAACAAGGAGTCACGTATTTTAATGTACAAGTAATGTGTTCGACCACTCCTAGAATACTGCAGGGTTATTCTTTGTAGCGTGCGCATAAAGGATAAATTAAGGTTGGAATCCTTACACGGGCGATTCAAAATTCGGATTCTTGGAACTGATTGTACTTTGAATTGTAAGTCCAGATATAATAAACTTGAACTTGACCCTTTATGGAAGAGGATACTCAAACTAAACCTAATCTTTTCCTTTTTATTCTTCTTCTTCCTCAAAATACCTAATAAACTATCCGTTACATCCAGTCAAGTTATTCTATATATATCATTATCACTATTATTTTAACCATTATACGAACCACAGCATTTCAAAGAGTGTTAGTTGTTTTGTAGCATGCTTTAGTTCTATGTTGCTTCGAGACTTTGAATTTCTTCAATTGTATCATGGCAGTATGGTAGAACTACGGCATAAAACCATACTATTTCACTTGAACTGTTACACAACCTTAAATTCTCCCGTTTTATTACACTTTTAATTATGTTTATAGAAAAATTATTAAATAGTCACATGTTAATTATCATCCCACTTTTCTTCTTGTTTATCCTCTTCAGATTTTAGTGATCATAGTCACTATTCTAAAGAGATATAGGCCCAGAGAGAGTTTTGTACTGAAACTATTTGCTGAATTGAAGTCAATATAACGATTAGAGTGTGTTGGTTTTCGGTAAACAGTTAGATTTATAGTCCACTTAAATCTTTTTTAATCAAGCAATCTAAACATGACAGCTCATCTTGGTCATTTCCATGATTGAACGTAATGTAATAAGAGAAAGTATTGATCAGTTTAGAAAAATGTCATAGTAGTCTTTTTCATGGCGAAAAAAGTTTCATCTGTTTACTTGACTTCGAATCGTGGTTTGATTTCATTGGCGAAAATATTTGATTATAAATGTGACATAAACAGGCTGGCTACAATTAGGTACACGGAGGATCTTGTAGCTACTACTTTTTGTTGGTTTAAGAGATTTCATGATAAGACTGATGCTTAAAAGACATCTGTTAGATAAAGTATGATCATTCTCTAGTAAACCGTTGATAAAGTTTAGGCATCTGTCAATAGGAATACTAGTGCATAGAGATACAACATCATAGCTTACCACTGTTTCATCTTTTTCCATTATTAATTCCGATATTTTTGACGTAAAGTCATAGGAATCATTAATTACATTATGTTATCTGTTTTGAAATAGCTTTTATACGCTGCTCAGATATTTAGATAATGCATATGTAGGTGTGTTTGTATAGTCCACTATAGGTCTTATTGGGCTCTCCGGTTTATAAATACGATTGTACAGTCGAAAAATTTCTTTGCCGAACTATATTTATCCTTCTCTAATTTTATATGTTTATATTTCTTCGTTCAACAGTGCTCCGTTATCTAAGTGAAGTGAACAAGATGAAAATATCTATCGCTCCGTAATCTGTCAAAACAGATAATCCAAATCCAAGTAGATGATCAGACACCAAAATTCAAGGCTCGATAGACAGTTTGTTCATATTAGTATGAGACGCCTCAGCTGTGAAGACCCAGTATTTCATCCGTGATTAATCTATAAATATTCAGGCCTTGTGACGAAAACTTAGTATTTAGTCGATTTAATTGGTTTACTAATACTTATCAATATGGAACTTGAGGTAGGTGTTCCCGTATTTCTAGTGATAAGCTGTAAACGATGACGTTCAGGTATGTCAGAACTCAAACAGTCATTGTTATTAATAAATGATGACCATCTCATTTTAATACGAACCTACCGAAGTTGTAAATATAAACCTTTGGACTATGATTTTAATTCCAAATTTAATTTCACATAATATTCAGTTTCCATATTGTTGAAGAGTTTAGAACTATTTTAGAAAGACTATTTAGACTGTCTGAAATGGTATTGATCTCACGAAGGAGATTTACAAGACATTACTGAGCTTATTTATTATACAAACAATATTTCTCTTACAGAATCAGATTTATAATTAAAAACAAATCACAAACATTCAGTAAAATTTTATTAAATCCCAAATTATCCCATTAAAATTAGTACTTCAAAAGAGCATTTTCATAATCTTTTCATTAATTTGTAGTGTCATTGTCAACACCATAATCACAAAGGAATAATCCATAATGTTACTCAATTGATATTGTACGTACCAGGACCTGGGACAAACTGAAATTTGTTTTTAAATACATCATAATGAAACAATAATTTAACTAATTTTTATTACAAAGGGTTTTGTGGATATTACATTAATTTCAAGAGTTGAAATCATGACTCAATTGAAGGTAGACTAACATGGAAAACATGGAAGCAATCGACGGCTGTTTCGTTCTATTATGGAACTCCTCAGCAATGCGCATCTACGATCCCGTCTAACGTGATTCCAATCAAGAACCTATTAGTCTCGCGCGCAAACGCTTAATCAATAGACCACTGAGCTGACCTGCATCAATGGTGTTAATTTCTAACTTCAACTAATCCACGAAATTGAGTGACACATTCACCATTGTATTTGGTGAGTTAGTATCTCACAACAGACCAGGTTGAACTCCACTAGTCACTGCTTCCCACTAGAACTCTATGAAATACCTCTTGAGGTCGGTCACTAGTGAGCATGTGTTGATCAATATCAGAATAGTGGATGGTGGTCTAGCTTCAATTGACTCATGATCTCAACCATTAAAATAACTAACTTTTGCAAAACATTAGAATAATTGTCGGATCCTTATCTGAAAAATTGTTAGTTACTATTTAAAATAATAGTCGGCTACTTTCTTGACAGTGACAACATAATATCTTATAATGATAGGATTTGTCGACAACAAAATGTATTCATTGATTTCGTACATTGAGTACAAATAGAAGAAGAAGAAATCATAGTAAAGTACACACTTATGTGCGAAGTGGATAAAACTACTGGTAGATTTCAGTGAAATCATAGAGCTAGTAAGATATGCTCAGTCGATACAACTAATAAGGAATTAGAGTTCATACATAATATGTTGATTGAAATGGATTATCTACAGAGTTTTCTGAAGAAACACCTGCGTGTAACAAATAGGAAAATAGCGACATCAACGTCTAGTAAGAATCTTCTCTTCTTGAAGCTGCAATTCAATGGTGATGTAGCTGATGCTGTACTACGTGATAGACTGAACAGAGCAGTGAAGAGAACGTTTAATGCAGTCAACCTCTGTCTATCGTATTCGACCTGATCTGTGGTGATTTCCCAACTGAAGGATAAGTTACCTGGTTATGTCACTTCTGTGTGTATCTACGAATTCAACTGCTTCTGTGGAGAAAGCTATATTAGAGCGAACTACCAGGCAACCGAACCAAAGAGTTAGTGAACACCTCCCTTCAGGTTAGGAAAAGCTACTGTCGAAATTTTCATACGTTGAAATTCAATCGTAAAGTATGTTGACAGTTACAACAAAAAGACGCGCATAACCTCAGAGATTCATGAGAATAGTAGTCACTGCTATAAATTTAAGATCAGTGTTTTTAGCTATTCAGTGAATGAGTACTTCAGTGCCTGTTTGTGCAATCAAATATTTGCATTTCAATTCGAAACTTCATTTTCACCACGGTACTAAATCCTTGTAATCCTTGAAAAAACCAAGTTCACATCCACCGGACTACAGAATCACAATCGATCTCAAAGAGTTCAATGTTTATGATACTAAGCAGTATTTATTTTGTTTATCGTTCCAGGTGGTTGTGAACAGCTAGTTCCTTTAATTTGTTTGCTTCCAGCTCAGTATTCGAATGATATTCTTGTATGCACAATAAAAAATATAGATATAAACCACTGATTCAAAAATATTTAGTTCTTCTGACATTGACATTTATATATATCAAGAATGATTACATGCTTGAAACAACTAATACCTACCGATTTTGAACGTTTAAATCTGGGTACCTGTGATACAAATGGAGAGATTATTCCAAATGTTTCATTAAATGACAAATTGTAAGCACCTGGTGGAGGCACATTATCCTTAAGAATAAAATAATACAAAGAATACATTTTCGTTTAGCTAATCAAAGTGGAATGAGTGCTTAACTATCCTTTTAAGGTGAAAAAAACCCATTTTAAGTAGTTGAATAAGGTTAAATAAAGCTATTTGATCTTAGAATTAGAAAGTATTGAGTGAGGAAATTTCATCTGTCAAGTGTGTTTTACGAGCACCCAACAGAACTACGCGACATCATTACGTTAATTTTCACCCCCTAGATAGAAATCGTTAATCATTATCAATAGAGTAAATATATATAATATTGGTCAGATACCATCAGCAACAGCCTTCTCTGAGAGACAAAAAACCAGCTTCCGGCTAAAGAGGAAATTAAAAAAAGACGATGGAAATGGATAGGACATATATTGCGGAAATCACCAAACTGCATCACGAGGCAAGCCCTAGCTTGGAGTCCCGAAGGGAAGCAGAAAAGTGGAAGGCCAAAGAACATATTGGATCGGGAAATAGAAGCAGATATGAAAAAGATAAATAGCAACTGGAAAGATCTGGAAAGGATTGCCCAGGACAGGGTTGAGTGGAAAGTGTTGGTAAGCGACCTCCACGAGGAGTAACAGGCGTAAGCAATTAGGTAATTGAATATATCCAGAATTCAGGATGTTGAAGATTCATTAGAACTCAGAAATCCTATCAGTTTTGAACACACTAACATGTTGAAGATAATTTGGACTGTGCAGTTGACCAATATCGAGTTGAGTCCTAAAAGAACTTTTCAAAACTTTGATGTGAATTTTTCAAGCGAAATAAATTTAATTTAATAAGTAACTCTATAGTCCACATTAGAGTCCCAAGTTAAATCTGAGTAACATAATTTTGCATGAAGTTCACTTTAAAAATGAATTAATTACAGCTATAAAATTGCCGAAAACTGAAGAACACTAAGATATTTTATCGTAGTTTATATATATATAAATCAGTGAATATGAAGAAATGAAGAGGGAGGTCGATTATGAATAAAGTGGTCTTGAGTGCTGTTAAAGGTATGAGGGCGGTTATCACTTCCCGGTTGCCCACACCGTGAAAGGGTTGTTCTGGAGGTACCTGAAAAGGGAATTGGATTAGAGGTGGTTTTAGTGACCTAGGAGCGTGACCGCAGTTCCCAAGGGACAACTGCTTGAGGTCGGTCACACACGACCTTTTTATGAGTAATTTTCGTGTTAGCTCCGCACTTTTTGAGATCTTACCGCCGGAGATGGATAAGAATGGGATAAAACAAAGTGTGTATTTTTAGGGTCGACCTTTTCTAACATCATCCTTCCTTGTGGGAAGGCAGCATCGCTGTTATGCTGGTTGTCTCAAGGAAACACCTTATTACTGTCATACCTCTGTACAGTCAGAAGTACGACTTCGCCTTCGGACCTTAGGTTTGTTGCTTTTAGTCTTACTGCTCTTCAACCGACCTGTCTGGTATAGTAGGACTTTGATGAACGATAGTTCCAGCCAGTATAGCCCGGTTGCTTCATCACGATAGGCATGCTTGACCACTAGTTCAAGGTAGCAACAATGTTAGGGATGATCCTAATTTCGTTCAGATTTTGATCTATATCATAAATGTTATAAGATTTCAACATTTCAATTTCACTTCAATATGATATCACGAGAACGTATCATTGTAATGACTGTAGAACTAGGAAGTTATTCTATTCTATTTCATATTAAATATTCATTTATTTACATGTATATCATATTACAAATGGATTAACATTAGAAATCACTTGAATTCAGTTATAAGTATAATAAAAGGGGTGTTATTTTAATGTCAAAGTAACATTTAAAACTTACACCTGTATAGGTGTTGGCCCATAGTAATAAATTGATAAATCAAACCTCTTGTTGTTGTGTGTTTTTTTTTTAAAAAAAAAACAGGAATATAAATTAAATTGAATAATGTTCATCGCATGTTGAATCATAAGAATCCATTATGATTATGATGTATGATTTAGTCAATTAGTTTTATTCACATTACATGAATAAGAGATTATCTCATTTAAACTATTGTTAAATGGGTTATATCTTGTGGCTTTGTGTCTTATGTATTATATAACGTAATGATATCGTCAATTAGAGAATAGTACCTCTTATCGACCGGATCAATGACACATAAAACCCATACGAACAGTCTAGAGTCTTTATCTATTGTTCTTACTGCCTAACCTTGTCTGTCTATTGAGTTAAGAACACCATTCTCAGCCACTGTGATATGAATCGTTTATTTCAAACATACTGGATTTATATACAAACCATATAGCTCACATTACGCCATAAAATAGAAAATAACAGCCAAAGATGGCTGTGGATGTGGGAGACTGTAATTAATAGACTGGACTGAACTCTAGAACGGTAAATTGTATTATACTTGTCTATACCTCGGCATAAAGCTTTAGATAGGAGGAACGTGAATATGAATAGCTTAGCTACTTAATAATAATACAGTAAACATGTATGTATCCTATTGGTCCATAAACTGTTATCAAGAGTTACCATTCATACTAGTGAAATTCAGATGATTGTTGGATGATATCTTGTATCCAGGACTGATGTATCATCCTAGCAATATTGTTATCTTATCATTAACTTTGAGATAAATCTAAGTAACAAATTTATAAGATAATCATTATTTTGTGTTACTCTTTATCACAATTCATTATACTAAACATTGTATAACTGAAGTTGATCTCCACCCACTAGTCAGGTAACCTACACTGTTTACGAAACACGTGTTCTTCTCAGACTCATACCACTGTGCGCTTCTGTAAATTCTAACATTAAAAAAGTTAAAACATTAGTGGGAATGTATTTTATATGTAAAGAAAATATGTGTTTTGTTCATTTCATTTAAAACAACGCCACATAAAAGTCCCATTCTGATATTGATCAACACATGCTCACTAGTGACCGACCTCAAGAGGCATTTCATGGAGTTCTAGTGGGAAGCAGTGACTAGTGGAGTTCAACCTGGTCTGTTGTGAGATACTAACTCACCAAATACAATGGTGAATGTGTCACTCAATTTCGTGCATTAGTTGAAGTTAGAAATTAACATCATTGATGCAGGTCAGCTCAGTGGTCTATTGGTTAAGCGTTTGCGCGCGAGACTAATAGGTTCTTGATTGGAATCACGTTAGGCGGGATCGTAGATGCGCATTGCTGAGGAGTTCCATAATAGAACGAAACAGCCGTCCATTGCTTCCACGTTTTCCATGTTAGTCTACCTTCAATTGAGTCATGATTTCAACTATTGAAATTACTATAATGTTCACAAAATACCCTTCTGACATAGATAAAAGTAATTTACTTTACTTTGAAATTTGTTAAACGTTCTCATACGCATTGTACTTATCATCAATCTTTACATTTTAACGTTTTATAAAAATATAAATCAGAATTTTCTGATCAATTTACAGGTATGAAAACTTGGACTCTTAAAAGGTGTTTTAGATTAAAGAATAAAAATTAATTGAAACAATTTAAGCTTATGCTACATTTTTACTCCGAATGTAAAGTTGTTTCAAATAGATAAATTATAGCCAACAGTGGGATCCAGGAAATTTATTAGGTGAATTTACCTGAATTCCAGTGTTGATGTTCACTCTGGGACTCGAACCTAACGCGTTATTCATTAAGCTACTAAGTTTAGGTAGCCCGAAACTTCTGCAACGGGTATCATCTTTATACCAATCAGTATTAACGAGGAGTTTGAATATTCTATTGTCGATAGTCGACTGAATTTCTTATCAATCCAAAAATCACAATACTGGTCATAATTTATGTTATCTATAATAGCTTTGAAGTTTTACCTATTATTTATTTCAAAAGTACAACTATCTCTTTTTATCTTAAAACTTAATTACGACAACAAACACCTGATTAAAGGTCACTAGTAATCTATATGACCATGAAATAATTAGTGGGAAGTGGAAAGAAGTCATGCAGATAAGTTGACACATAAGGAATCCATGTCTGAATTGTTCAGGTCGCTAAGTCACATCAACACGTAAGACACGTACTATGTACTAACGCGATGTACCGACTATATTACAATTTTATTGATAGAACCAAATCCCCATTAATGACTAGGCAAATATGATATAGATTACCAATCAGTTATCAATCGGTGTACATATGAGTGTGATAATATTCACAATTATACAATATACCCTTTTGGACGAGAATAATTTTATGTCGGTTTTCGGAAGAACCATATACTATTCAGGCCTTAACATTACAATCCGAATAACACAATTCAGTCCTGTGATACAACCCACACAGGTACCCAGCATCCTAGTAGATCATTAAATATACGGGTTTCAGTTACTGGAAAAATCTCTCTCCTCAAGATATTTAAAAAGCCTTGCTGAAAAGGGTCAACCATTTTGATATTGAAGTGCTATAATTTTGAAAAGATACTAATAGTGCATTTGTATTCAACCCATCATTTCTTAATGAATTTAATCATAACTCATACATGATATCCAGTTATTCTGAAGGAAAAAATGTAACTTCACACAAGGAAAAATTTTTGTTAGTGTTTTTTATGACTTACTTGCTTTTGACTTGAAACAGATCTGGGGTATTTTGATTTAAATACACTGTGATATGAAGGCAATTGTGTTTTTTTAATCTGCTCTTCACCATAAGGGTTATACTGACCGGGAGCTAAACACAAATTCTGAAATCGGGATAAGAAATATCATTTGAAATAACCATCATAAATATTCCTTGATTTGAAGTAATAAAAACTGATTGAGATTACATATGTAAATCATTGGATTGTGGCTTCTTTGTCTAGAGTTCAAGTGAAGAACTTGAGAGTTTTCTGTACGATCTAGTATGGTCGTGGGTGTTTACCTCTGCTAGGTCGAAGCACCTGTCTAGTACTCCCTGGTTCCCAGAGACTATTAAACTAAGGTCAGTTTATTGTAATGATTGTGGAAATATCTAAACTAGTTGAAGTTTTGTAATTACGTTTTCGTCTCACTGTGGATTTTATGGTAATTTCAATAGTTGAATTTATGAGTCAAGTAAAGCTAGACCACCATGGAAATCCTGAAGACCGATAGGTCCTGGGTTCGAATTTCGCGAGGTGGGATAGTGGATGAGCACCTTTGAGGAGTCACACAATAGGACAAAACGGACGTCCAGTGCTTCCAGGCTTTCTATGGTGGTCTAGATTCAATTGACTCGTGATCTCAACTATTGAAAATATTCGAAATAATCAAGTCATTTGATAGGTATAATAATGTAAACTATCAGTTACCTCAAAATACCACCCATATGCATACTATTTTCGTACTCGGTGTCGGCAGTGGGATTCATGTCGGCTACTTGAACTAAACATCTTAAAGTGTTGAGAGGTCTCATTGAGCTCCACACAGATTTATGCAGATTAAAAAACCTCGGTGTACGTCTGGCAAGCCCATCTCAGGGCAGTTGTATTTCTGGATACCAGAGGTTGTCACTCATGAGGCGACTGTGGTCACTTCTGGTCTCCCAGTCTTTGACATTCTTTGACACGCTTGCGTAAACCAATTGATTTGTTTGTACTTACCTATTGACATCACGGTACAGTTCCAAGATTTGTTTCGTTTTTTAGGAGTAGTAAACCTTGGCTGTACTTATTCTGATGCAGTATACAACTCGATCAGATAGCTAGAGTTATCCTAGAAGTAAATTCTCTGATAAGGCCCAAACAAACATTAGTTCTCTTTAAACCTGAAGAAATTCGAGAAGTCAGCAGATGATTAAGTGCGCCTAAGACTGTCAGCACATGGGATGAACTTATATTTAATAATGAAAGCAATAGACAACGATTAGCAACAACACTAGCATGAAATCAAGACATTAAAATACGAATCTAGGGTTTAGCATGATAAGACCTCAAATCCACCACGCTAGTAAATCTAGTAGTTATTTAGGGGTTGGTATTCCTTGTGTATATGTGGTTGCATTTGTTCCATTGAAGTAGGGTTTCAACCTGCAGCAATCAGACTACCGAAAAAGTGAATGGTTCTTTGTTGCATGAAGGGTTACCAAATGGGAATTTAGAATGTAGAGAAGCAAAAAGAAGATAACTTTTATGACGTGTGAAGGAGTATTTTACACAAATGGTGTGAATAAGCAAGAATCTAAGTATAGCGGATTTGACATAGGGATTGCCTCGTGTTGCAGTTTGTTGATTTCCTCAGTGTATGCCCTATCCACCCCCAGCATATTCCCCTAATTTCCTCTCCAGCCAGAAGCTAGCTTGCTCTCTCTCGCAGTAGGTTGTTGCTGGTGGTACCCGACCCTCGACAATTGTTTTAAATACTTACACTATTTTGACGATGGTTGTAGTAGTTCTCCGAGTTTCAGCTCTATACAGTAGAACTGTCTTGACGTTCGTATTGAAGATTCTGACTGATGTTGGCTGACAGTTGTTTTGAGTTCCATATGTTCTTCAGTTGCGAGAGTGCTCCCCTTGCCTTGCCATTCCTTACCTTCACATCTGCATCAGATCCTCCTTGTTTATCAACGATGCTCCCTAGATACGTGAAATTTACGGCCTCCTCCGGATCTTCTCCATCAAGTGTGATTGGGTTGGTGCTCGCTGTGTTGCATTTCAGGACCTTGTGTATGTTAAGACCTACTGATTCAGAGGAGGCTGTTATACTAGCTGTCTACACCTATATTCGTTGGTATGTATGTGATAGAAGGGCTAGGTCATCTGCGAAGTTCAAATCGCCTAGTTGCATCCAAGCTGTTCATTGTATTCTGTACTTCCACTAAGATGTAGAGGTCTTTATAATACAGCCGACCACAAGAAGAGAGAAAACGAACAAAAGCAGCCTTGCTTGACACAGGTCTTTACTTGGAATACATCCGTGATCTATCTTCCATGCACGACCTTGCAGTGCAGTAAGCCGTGTGATGTTGATGATCTTCGCAGGTACACCATGTCGAAGAAGGTTCCATAAATCTCTCCTATCTGCGCTGTCAAACGTTTTCTCTCAGTCAAGAAAGTTGTTGTGTAGTGACGAGTCCCATTTTTGTAGATAATCCGACCCGAGAGAGCATCAGAGCCTGATGGATTAAGTCCTCAGATCTTTAGGGATGTTAGTCCAGCTTTACCGGTTAAGTTAACTGAAATCTTAGCTAGAACCTGAGAACTGCATGAAATCTCATCTGACTGGTCTCGATCGCTGATCATCTCAGTTTATAAGAAGGGACAAAAATCGTTTTGTGACAATCACAGAGGAATCTGTTTAAATAAGATGTCTAAAATATTAGCCTCGTTAATACTTCGACGTTTAATTAGAGCTCGTGAGGAGCGAACCCGAGAAAACCAGGCTGGTTTCAGACGTAAACGATTATGTATAGACCGAGTATTCACCCTTCACCAGGTTCTGAAACAGACATACTTTTCGATGTCCGATTATAGTTATATTTCTTGACCTTAATACGGAGTTCAACTACGAAGATCGTGAGGTTCTGTGGCGGTGTCTATCATTGAAAGACATCCCAAAGAAGTACACTGACATCATACAGGCTCTCTTCTCGAACATTTCTAGTTGAGTCAGAGCTTGTGAAGAACTATCAGGGTCACCTGCTTCTTCCATTTTTATCCAACTTGTCATTGACATGTTATTAGAAGTAACACTTTGATTGCTTACCTTTTCAGGAGTTTTCCTATCGGGAGATTCACTTGTTGACTTGGAATACCTCGATAATATAGTTCTGTTTGATGCTGACACAATGCCGTCTTCTGACCACACTAAATAACGACACAAGCATGTTTCGGATGTGATTCTAACCTTTCAAATCCAAAATGTTGCTTCAGGATTGACCTGAGTTAGTCATAGGGAGTGAAGTAGTTGGACGTATCGACCACCTCACTTATCTTGAGAGTCTCATCCGCACTGACGGTCTGATTTTTGGAGAAATCTCAGCAGGAATTCAGAAGGTTTTATTGGCATTTGCCAACTTGCTGTGTGGGGAAGATATCGTGCTTCCGGTTTATAATTGCTTGATGAGTACATTCGCTAAGTGATCATAATTTTTTCTGCTTTGACAGTCCTAATTTTCCGAGAGTTTATTACTATGTAAATTAATTCTTACTCTATGTTACATTATCGTATGCCAGTCATATATGTACAGGTAAAATTATAATGTTTATTACATGTAATAAAATATTTGACGTCAAATACTAATCAACATAATATTTGGTGGTTATAGACTTTGGATGACGCGGTTTAAATCGTTTATAATGGTTTAGGCGTATTTTCACGTAATCGTCTCTTGTATCCTAAGTTTCTAAATTCTTCATAATTGTTTTTAGATTTCACTAATTTATATTTTCTTGAATCATATCTTAGATACTTAATTTTTTCTATTACTACCAGAAGTGCAACTAACTCTACTACTTCGGGAATAGCCATAATGATGTCATCTCGTTGTGCTAATGTGGTATGACAAATTGGACCGATGTACTTAAGTATAGGGTTTATGCTGCAACTGACTAACGTTCCACGATTACTTCAAATACTTGTCAGTACACTTTTATGTTACCTCCTATCCTGGTGTTTAAAGACAGACGGGATGACAGGATGAAGTCATTGGTATCTTGAGCGAACTATGTAAGTAGGTGCAGACTACCTAGTTGGGGTTTGTGTGATTATCGATCTTGAATGACGTAGCTCAAAAACGTTCGAAACATTTTTTAAAATATTAAATTTAACTTTTTAGCCGTTACAACTTCACAGAGTATAATTGCAGAATTTTTTATGTCTGTTAATGAAAAGAAAACACGTTTCCAATCATTTTTTACAAATTATTCTCAACTCAACAGCTTGCATCGTTCAGAATGAATCATACGTTATTCATAATAAATTAAAGAAACAAAATGAAACTTTTCAATGTACAAATGTACGAAGTTTGGAGAGATTCTTTAAGCCTATATAGCGGTAATCCGCACAGGATGCACATTCACCAGCAAGAGACTGATCAACTGCTGTCTTAAGTAGCAGTAGGAAGATACAAGTAGAACAACACCAAGGGAATTTCACTGTTATAATTACAGCAGTTCATTATAAATGCAGGTCAAAATTAGATATCAAGATGAATATTAACGTTTGAAATAATCATATTTTTAAAATGCAAGATATAAATTTAGGATTGTCAGTGTAACAACTAGCATTTATAAATTCTCTGTAAAGTTCTGAGACTTGATCCATAGTAGAGATTTTTATCGGTATTGAAAAGTTCCATTATATGACGATTTGACTTTCTAACGCATCCTGGCTTGCATTGATTGTCTAGTTAAAGTCAATCTGTGATATATGTCGCACACACATTGAGGAAAGTACCGAAATGTGTCACAATGCAAGTTCTCATTTGGAATCCTCAAGGCCAAAGAAGAAGAGATAGATCAAAGAACACATTACATCGAGAAATGGAGACAGACATGAGAAGAATGAACAACAATTGGATAGAAATAGAAAGAAAGGCTCAGAACTGAGTGGGTTGGAGAATGCTAATCAGCTGTCCATGCTCTATTGGGAGTAACAGGCGTAAGTCAAGTAGGCGATAAATATATATATATAGACTATAAATTAAACAGCTTGCATACATTTCCTATAATAAACAGTTACTTTAGTAAACCAGAATGATTTTCAAAAACAACCCAGTTTTCATCTTTATTTATTTATCAACCATATGATAATCCAAAAATCAGAAATGACTACAATCATGGTAACGTGAATGTCCATCTTAGATGAGGCTAATTTTTTCATACTGGTGGGTGATTTTTTCACCAAAAAATGATAGAAATTCATGTTAAAGCTAGTCATTAGTAAGTATATGAATTTCACTTAGTAAGGTAGCTGTTCAGAGATTTTTTTCTGAGGTTTCAAGTTCATGTGTATTAATTACTAATTTTGATCCTTAATGAAATTTGCATCCATGAACAATATCAAGACATTCTCTTACGATATAGATGTCTCAACAGAAATGAATTATGTTTTTGATTGAGATCATGAACCGATTAATGTTAGACCACCATTGAAAACCTAAAAGTACTGGACGGCCGTTTCGTCCTATATTGGGACTCCTCAGCAGTGAGTATCCACCATCCCGCTCGCGAGTTCTTCTTGGCTTTATGAAATACATTACAATGAATAACATTTTAAGTGTGTACACATTTTAAAATACCTCTTGATTTTGACACTATAGGTATTTTATACGAATATTTGTCAAGATTGGAGGAATAGTTTGACAAAAATTGGGCGCCAAGTATTGAGAATTATAATTGAAACCACCTCAGCGATTGGAATTTAAAAATAATTCCGTTTTTTCCAACTCATTTGTCTGGACCTCTTCAGAGTAGAATAATCAAAATCAAATCAAATCTATACTGTGCTAATTCAATCATATTTAGATGTTGTCGTTAGTAAATAGGATAACATGAGTTAGTTACATGAGAATCATGTGAAAAGTCCACGATGTGGAAATAAATGACTAAAATCAGTTGTCTCTCTTTGCGTGTGTGTGTGTATGTGTTTATGTATGTGTGTGCGTTTATGTATGTATGTATGTATGTGTAAGAATGAGTTATGAATGAATGATATTCGGCGTTATATGAAGGAATAAATAAATAAAAATGCAAGTTCAAGGTTGAAAAAATTGTTTATAAATCATTGAAATGCAAATAAAAATGAGACTCATCAATTAGATAATTGTATTGCCAAAAACAACTCACATTAAATTCCAGTCAAAATAACGATGCATGTGAAATAAACAGACTGGATAAAGAAAAGTGTCCAATTACTTATCAGGTAGTCTCTAGTTGAATACCATCCTTTCAGTTCAGGCTATTCTTGTTCGCCCATATATACAGCACTTCTGCTGTCAATCTTTCCTTATGAATGTTTAAAACCTTTCTGAAGTATTTTTGTCGCTTCAAAATTAATCTTGTTTCCTGTTTCTAACGCATGTAACACTACCGCAAATTCATTCTCCAGTTTCATTAAGTCAACTGAGGATTTGGGCACATTTTTCAAACATTGTTTGTGTTCCTTCAATCTTACACTCAAATCATGAACTTTTTCACATGATTCTCAGGTAACTGATTCATGTTATCCTATTTACTAAAATCAACATCCAAATATAAATTGAATTAGCTGAGTATAGATTTGATTTGATTTGATTGTTAAAACGCTATGCAATCATTCTTTGATAATTGTAATTTTGATTGTTGTCTCCTGAAGAGGTCCAGGCAAGCTAGTTGGGCGAAACGTTGGAATTACTTTTTTTTTAATTAAAAATTTCAATCACTGAGATTATTTTAAATACACAATTTTCACATTAAAATAGAGATATGAATTATATTTTTATACTACTTACAATTGAAATAAGTAGTATGTCAATTATCTTTTCATTATTTTATAAATCAACTTACTTTATCTTGTAAACCAAACAATAAATCATTAAATTTTCTCGGTATATTTTTAAATGAATATGTTCTATGACATTGATTTAATCTATAAAATGAACAACGACCAAACAAATAAACAAGTTGGATAAACAAACCAAAAGTGAATTCGTACAGCGAGATTACATCAATAAGTAACAATAATAGTGATATATTTGATTAACCAATATAAAGTAGATCAACATATGTATGTCGGATCTCATTCATTTGGGTTATACATAGTTTTAGTTTCTATTTCACTTATATGATAAATAGGCTTATTTTATATAAAGTAAATAATAGATTTAAATATTGTTGAAATGTCAAAAGGATATTCAAGGCATAATTTTATGTCATAATATTTTGCTTTGTATCTTTTCAATTAATTTCTATAGTGGTCATTTGTTATTTGAAAATCAAGATTATGTTTTGAAATGAATGTATTGGCAGAGATATTGTTTCAATATAACATATTTACTTCTTTACTTATGCCTGTTACTCCCAATACAGCATAAACAGTTAACCAGCATTCTCCAACCCACTCTGTCCTGGGCCTTCCTGTCATGTTCTATACAATTGCTGTTCATTCATCTCATGTTTCTCTCCACTTGCTTCTTTGATCTATCTCTTCTTCTTTGGCCTTGAGGATTCTAAATAAGAACTTGTCTTGTGCCAATATTGGGTGATTTCCTCAACGTGTGTCCTATCCACTTCCAGCAATTCTTCCTGATTTCTTCCTTCACTGTGATCTGGTTTGTTCTCTTCCACAGTAAGTTGTTACTGATAATATCTGGCCAACGGATCCTAAGTATTTTGCGTAGACAACTGTTAATAAACACTTGCATTTTTTGGATGATGGCTTTCGTTATTCTCCAAGTTTCTGCCCTGAACATAATTGACTGAAAAGCTTGATATTCTCAATATTTACTGATTATCATCGAAGCAAACCTGTAATCTTGACAAAAATAATGTTCTGTTATGGGATTCGAACCACTATAAACCCCAGTACCCTCACGATCAAGTTATTCGCATGGTGATTAGCCTATTGTTTAGCACTTTTTTACTCGCTGACGTTAGGCATATTTACTTCTGAATAGCTCAAGAAATTATAATGATATAGCTGTCCGCTATCGTATGTATGATTTTCATTAAGTTTAACTGGTTAGTAAGTCTCATTATGACTTTGAAGGGTGAATGAAATCTTCATTTGGGATCAATTTTTAATTTCTAAATTAGGTTGTGTAAATTTCGGTTTCCCTATTGCAAGTGACAATTTTCCGCCGTTATATCATAAATAATACTAGGGGAAAATTTTTTTATTCCTTTAATAGTTTTGTTTTTCGTTTCCCAGTTATGTAATAAGTTTATTTCAATGATTCACAGATAGTTTATGTGACACTTAATTCATATCTTAAACCAGTGTTTTCTCCATTTGACTAATTACACTAAAATCAAGGGATTAGTGAGTACTTGCTTTAAGGTCACACTTTTCCAAAGTGAATCTAACTTAAAACTTTACTATATGAACACCAATATTGTAAAGTTAATGGTGAGTACTTCGATGTGCTCGGCTAATCCAGACAATTCACGTGCCTGTATTCACATGCTTTTTCGAGTGCTAGGTGACAGATGATAAACAATGAACGCTGTCGGACGAAGCCGATTATGCAAATCATAGCTTATAAATTCAAAGAATTTATGCATGAATATATATATACATATATACATATATATCAATGACTTGTGTACACATGTTCGATTTGTCAGTTATAACTTCTTAATCATTATCAGTCTTCTCATTCACACAAAGCGTTTGGCTTGCATATAGGGATCCTATAATCAGTGTCTAGATCGGAGGATAGTGTAAAAATACAGCAGTAGACGCTTCAAATTCAACCACTTATTTCCCAGTTGGTGTCATGAGCTAGGAATAAACAACTGATCAATATTTCGCGGTCTCAATCACTTTCTCTTTAGTGTCAAGTCACGTAACTATATAGAAATATCCAACTGTGAAATGTATAATTCATAGTTATTTTACATCTAGTATTACTATTTCCAGTCAATTAAATTTCTTGTTTTAAACCAGCCGCTCAGTGGTGACAATTAAAATGATAAGAAATAGAAGTTTGGGATGACCTGTCTCAAAATTTATTAACATTTTAAACAAATTCACAAAGAATGAAAATTTAGTAGTAATACAAATATTTTATAAAGATTAAGCCAGCCTACTTTTCGTCTACTCCATTAACGTTATAGGCACCGGGAAGTAACCATAAACCATCATTAGTAAATGTTGAGCATTGTCTCATTCGACCAGTATTCTTGAAACCATAAGAAATCGGACGTACGACAACTAGTCGTTTTATATCATAACGTGTAGGACTTGGACTATTCTGAGAATTAATGGGGAATAAATCATCTTTTACAAAAACAAACAGCATTCCAGAATGATAAATTACGAGGATGTTTGGCCTCAGTTAAACAACGAAACCAAATAACAACAGAAAATCTTAAGATAAATAAGATCGGGGATTTGCGGGGATTGTAGTAGTTTCAAGCTAGACCATGATTGAAAGCCTGAAAACACTGGACAGCCGTTTCGTCCTAGTATGGGACTCCTCAGTATTGCGCATCCACGATCCCGCACCGAAGGGACTCGAACCCAGGACCTTTGGTCTCAACTGTTAAAATTACTACAACCTCCACTAATCCCCATTCTGATAATAAACAGAATTGCTTCAATTCATTTCTGTATTGGTTGTTTGAAACTTCCCATTGTTGTTTAGGACTGCGACTGATCAGTCTCTTATTAGGATAAATGTTCATCCTGTGAGAATAGGCTCGATATTTCCTTAAATCTCAAGTGTTAAAGGGGAAGATGAATAGTGGCTAGCAATGGAATCCAAGACACAAGAGTTGATGTTTACTCCGAGATGCAGGTACATATATCTGACGAATCTCAATATAGGTCGTAACGTGCGTCTTGGATTCCACTGCTAGCCACCATTCATCTCCGCTTAAAGATGAAATTGTGTTTTTATGTTGTTCTACTTAAATGAGAAGCATATTTCATGTGGTTACATAAACATTTCAACTACTGAAATGACTTTAAATAAAAATAAATCCTGCCTATTAATTACAAATACGTATGTATACCTTTTAGATTTATAGAGATTATAAGGAAATTACAATGATTATAGAAATAGTCTATCCGATACAATTCAAATTGAATTAATAATATTTTGATAAAACTTTGACAATGTATTAGTTGTTGTGAGCTTTATTTAGAAATAATACCTGTTTTCAAGCAACCGAAACATCTCTTTGTGCTTTGTAATGACTTCAAGGATGATATGTTACTGAGAAAACTGTCAACTTCTTATGTCGATAGAAACACTGAAAGTATACCATATTCTATACTCTTCAAACGCTCATTTATTGTTTCGATAATTGTTGAGAAACTGACTTTGGAAAAAATATTTAAAACAGTTCTAGTACAACATATAATATAGTTGGATTTTGACTAACAGTGGAATCTAGAACGTACATTTCGTTCTTATCACAACTCATCAGTTGGATGTGCACTGTAGTGGCTGGTTCTACATAGCTTATTCTAGCTTCCGGATAAACCAACTTATCCATTCTCCTCAAGCTACATTTCGAACTTGTCAATTATTCACTTATCAAACTTAACTGTTTTATATGAGCGTGTGTACAATTCTTATCTTATTCATCACATGTCTGTAATGTATTTTTATATGACTATAAATATCGATCAACGCTTAATTAAATCGAGTTAGCTCACACGACTTCACCGCGCGTCATTTCGCTTTACTTCTTCTCTTCTCCGACCAACGATTGTATGAAATATATATATTCAAAAATCCATTCTCCTACTTGACTTATTTTAATTCCGTTATTCACTAACGCGAGTTAAGTCGACATTTATATAAGAGGGTAGCCGCCCCCAAATTCACTTGTACAGACGAGAATAGGGAGAGTCCGCCTTACCTCTCGAAATGTTTTCACATGACCATTCGTATATAGCTTCTGCCAGGGAAGTACTACTCACTGCATCCTCGCACCACGGGTGTTGTTTACGAAATCAAGATGACAAAAACCGAATGTTCGGCGCACTAACCGAGTTGATGGACAATGAGGGTAGACGTAGAGAAGTTGGAAAACCCTGGTGCCGAACGAATGATGCACGTGAGCTGGCTCTAAGATACTGACGGAACAAATGGCATACGAACCTGTTGTTGGTCACCAGCTACCATGGGCCTGAATCGCCTGATATTGCTCCACTGTCTTGTGGACTAATCCTCTAGGTCAAAGGCTTGGTGTGTGGCCTCCTAAGAAAACGACCTGGTTCGGTTTGGGCACACGGGCAGTATACCTTCCGCCACACAAATCAAATGATTTATGTGGTGCATATCTATTCGGTGCCTCCTTGTGCCAATATCTATATGTTCAAATAAATAAATAAAGAGGCTAGCCAGAAGTATATTTCGATAACTCGATAGTATTCATCATGCGATCCAAATGGAGTCAGATCCCGTGCTACTAAATGCTATAGATATTAGATTATTTATTACATTTTTCATTTTATTTGAGTTCAGTTAAAATCGAAGGAATTGTACGTAGGGATTTGTTAAAGATACACATATGCCAAAAAATCATGATCAGAATTTGTTCCTGAATACCAACTACTGAGTTTACATAAACTCTTCAACATAAAAAAAATGAAAATTTAATAAGTTGGTGGCTATCCAGAAACTGGAATGGTGTTGGAAGCAATATGCATTGAATTCATAATGAAACATGAACAACAATACTGGGATGCATGTTTTAGTGGCCCAAGATCTGACCCCAGTTAGAGTGGAAAAATGATCGTTATTGAATGATTGCTGTCGAAATATAAATCCTGACTATTCTCGTATATTATTATGGACTTAAATCAGGTTAATAAATAACGGAATTAAAATAAGTCAAGTAGGAGAATGGATTTTTTGAATATATATATTTCATACAATCGTTGGTCTTGACAAACTATCGGAGAATCGAAGCAAAGAGAAGAGAGCCAATCGAAATGGCGCACGGTAGAGAGAGCGTGTAAGCTAACTCGATTTAATTAAACGTTGATCGATATTTATAGCTGAACGAAAATAAATTACAAACATGTTATGAGTAAGATAAGTGCACACCCATATGCTCATATAAAACAGTCAAGTTTGATAAGGTCAAATGTGACACATATGAACATAGTAACCGACACTACAAGCCATCTATTCACAATTCACATATGTGCATAAAAACGAATGAAAATTTTGTCCTGTATACTATTAATTAGATTATAATAACTTTTACAAATGAATTCTAGTAAAACACTTTTGATTGAGCAGTTGAAATGAATTAGTTGAAGAGCCCAAATTCTTACAACTTCCAATCACTATTCGAATAACGAAAATGAAGATGTAGCCAGTGTTTTGCTATAAATGGAAAGTTTTATGAAGAGAGAAGCATGTGATCTACCTAATAGTTAGTAAAATAAGGTTTTTATTTAAACAGAGACTATTAGATAGACATCCAATCACCATGACGTGGGAAGCCTAATCACACTTTCCTTCTGTATACATAGGTCAGGTTGGAAATGTCTGATAGTGGTTACATCTGCCAAACTGAGTAAAATTGATGCTTTTTGTATGTCAATTATTTTGAGTGCATTAATTCATGTCTACTATCCCAAATTTGACTGGTAGTTGTATTTGACTTTACGCCCTTTCAGATGTAGTTTTCTTTGTGTAGAGGAAACCTTGTAGAAGCCCTTCTTTCTGTCATTCCTACAAACTTGCTATCTCAGTTACATGTAATTTCGTGGACACATTTGGAAGTAACCTGGGCAGGGTACTGATCTACATTTGAATGATACAACGAACACCTGATATCATTCAATGAAACCAAGTAAAAATGTAAGGAAGCTTGTTTTCAGTTCCGCATTGACTATGCTATCGATTCTTCTTGAAATCTAATCTTCCTTGAATGGAAAGTGGATGAGGACAGATTTTCTTCCAATGGTTGGTTGTTTATCATCCTTGAGATGTTTTTAATAGATTTCATAATAATTTACTTTAGATATCCAATTTTTTATGAGATGCTCTTCCTAAATACTCGACTCCTCATTTAATTTACCGCCTAAGCATGGTTCTGTTGAAGAACGTCTCGACTAGACACCTTTCTTAACTGGCAGCACAAACGCTGTCGAAGTTTGGATACTGTCCTGTCCATATTTTTTTTCAACATATACTTTTCTCAAGACTTTCATCATATTTCCGCCTTACATCAAGATCTAAAAAATCGATTTGGTTATCTCTTTGATATTTCATTGTAAACGTTATGTTTGGACTAAGTAAAAGAGTAGCATGATCCATAACATCCTAGATAATGAAAATATTATCAGCACATCTGGACAAGAATGTTTTCTTCTGGATTTTGTATTTTATTTTCGTTTATCCTAGGTTAGCTGTGAAGATATTGGCCAAGGTAAACCCTAGTGATGATCCTACGGCAACTACATCGACTTTTTGCATAGTTAATTGTTACTCAGGATTCGCATATTTACTGAACAGGCTTTAAATGAGAGTAAGAGAAAGGAAAATCCAATGAATATTAGAACTCTAAACTACAAACATTTTAAAAGGTTTCATTAGGTAAGTGGAAATTTTTCATTGTTTCACTGAGAGTATTTACTTTGATAATAATTTGATGAGCTATTCATTACTGAATCATTTTCACAGTATTATCTGTTCATAAAAATATAATTATGAATCATGGAAGTACAAACTTCTAATAGAAAGAATGTAGGATAAATTTTTCGGCGCGACTATAATTTATGGACGACCTTTGAATGAATGTTAAGTGACTTTGAGAAATACTAGCCAATCACAAAACACTGCATGAATTCTAAATATATTACACAAAACCAAAGATTTAAAGTGAATACACTTCTTTTACATGGTTCAAAAACTTGTCAGGGTTAGAAAAAGGTTCAAAAGCCCTAAAATCGTGATGCATACGGTAGAGGAAATCATCCATACGGCTTCATAGTAGTTGGCCTCCGGAGCCATGATAAGGTCACAAAAGCTCTTTCATCCTCTACCACATAGCTTAGATATTGTTTGTGTGCACTCCGGTTGTTGGGTTCACCAAATGCCACTTGTGGATAACTACACGATGCACATAACCAAGTCTATGTAGGCGTCTGTACGCCCTTCAATCATCCGTATATATTGTAGTACCTGGCTGCAACTAGTTACTGGTGCTATTATTACCCGTTTCGCAACAATTGTAATAACTCGCCTTACTTTCAATTTGGATCAAGTGAAAAAATCCTATCGTACCAGATTTCTTCCTCTAATACATATTACATCAAAAGGCAACATCA